CAATCCCACAACACGCAACCCGTGAGATCATGACCTGAGCCAAAACTAAGAGTCAGATGCTTAACCGACTGAGCCACCCAGGCGCCCCTGAAGACTCAATTTGAGACTTAGAGCTTCCAGAACTTTGAAACAATAATTTCTTGTTTTCAGCCACCTGAGTTGTGGTGTCAGCCTGTTTATCAGCCCTGGCAAACTAATACAAAGGGCATCTATGAAAAACCTACAACTAAATTACATTCATGGTGAAAGACTGGAGTTTTCCCTCCTAAGATGAGAAATAAAAATGAGGATGTCTACCCTTAACACTTTTATTTGACACTACTAGAGTCCTAACCAATAAGGCTAGAAAAAAAGGAATAAAAGTTATAAAGATTGAGAAAAAGGGGTAAAACTGTCTTTGTTCTCGGATGGTATGAATATACATTAGAAAGCCCAAGGAATCTATAAAAAATACTGTGACAAATAAATATATTAAATTTACAAAATACAAGATCAATTTTCCAAAATCAATTGTATGTCTATATGCTACCAGTAAAGAATTGGAAGATAACATAAATAATAAATGCAATAACATCAAAAACATAAAACACTTAGGCATAAATCTAACAAGAGATTTATAAGACCTCTGCACTAAAATCTGCAAAAAATTGGTGAGAAGAATTAAAGACAAGCTAAACAAAACAGAGAGATATGCCATGTTTATGGATTTAAATTCAATATTGTTAAGACATCAATTTTCCCCTAATTGATCTCTAGATTCAACTCGAACCCAATTTGTTTTGTAGAAACTGACAAGGCAATTCTAAAGATTTTATGGACCTAGAAGGGCCAAAATAATCTTGAGAAAGAAGAAAAAGATTTCCACTGCCTGATTACAAGACTTACTAGAAATTTACAACAGTCAAGATAGTGTGAAATGGCATAAGGGTAGGAAAAAAACAGAAGAATGTAACAGAACAGAGTCCAGAAATAAACTAACATATAAATTGTCAACCGATTTTGACAAAAGTGCCAAGGCAATTCAATGGAAAATGGAGCTTCCATTTCATTAAACAAATGAGTCTGGAACATTTCTATATGGATAACCATATAGAAAACAAAACAAAACAAAACCTTAACTCCTACCCTACACTCTTCATTAAAAAAAAACACCTAAAAATAGATCATAGACCTATATGTAAAGCCTAAAATTACAAAGCTTCTAGAAGAAAACATACTAAATAAAATATCTTCAAAATTTCAGGGTGGGCAAAGATTTTTTTAGACAAAACACTGAAAGTGCTAACCATAAATGAAAAATTGATACATTAAACTGTATCAAAACTGTAAACTTCTGCTCATCATAAGACAAAATTAAGAAAATGAAAAGACCAGCCACAATCTGAGAGGAAATATTCACAATAAATATATACAACAAAGGGCTTGTATTCATACAATGACCTCCTACAAATGTATATTCATACCATGAACTCCTACAAATCAATAATAAAAAAGACAATCTAACCTCTAACATGACCAAAAGACTTGAACAGACATTTCACAAAAGAAGATATACAAATGGCCAATACCATAAGAAAAGGTGCTCAACATTCATATTCATCAGGGAAATGCACATTAAAACCACAATAAGGGGGCGCCTGGGTGGGTCAGTCGGTTAAGCGACCAACCCGTGATTTTGGCTCAGGTTATGATCTCAGGGTTGTGAGATTGAGCCCCCTGTAGTCTCCATGCTGGGCGTGAAGCCTGCTTAAGATTTTCTCTCTCCCTCTCCCTCTGCCTCTCCCCGCTTCCTCACTAAAAACAAAAACAAAAAAACACAATAAGATACAACTTGTTATATCAGCTAAGATTACTAAAATTAGACTGACAGCACCAAACATTGGTGAAATTGTGGAGCAACTGGAACTCTCAGACATTGCTGGTGGGAGTATAAAATGATAAAATTCCACTCCTAAGCAGTAGTAAACTGAGGTGGGGGACAGGGTGGTATGAGTGATCTGCCCCAGGTCAGGCAACTAGGGGGTGCAATATCTGTGGAGAATTTGAACACAAGAATAAAACCAAACCAACTAAACATTGGTTCACTTTATCAATGCCATGTGATAAAATATGCCTATCTGCTCGAGTGGACCGTTCCTACCTCACCCTTTGTGATGCTATTTACTCAAGAAAAAACAACAAACGTCAACAAAAAATGCTATGTCTGGAAATGTTCACAGCAGCTTTATTCATTATAGCCAAAGACCAAAAGCAACCCTAAATGTCCATAACCGGGAGAATGGACAATTGCAGTATATTAACAAAATGGAATATTACTCAGCCATAAAAAAGAACAAAGCATTGTGGGTAAATTTCATAAACATTATGAGACTTTGGCAGGTGGAAGGTTGAATGTGATTAGGTCCTTGGTTGCCGGGTTGCATCTTAGGGCTTTCTATCTTCTGCCACAGGGATTAACACAATGCTTGACATGCAGGGGCCCTTGGGAAACACTTTCTGAATGGAGGAACTTACACTGGGGATGCTGGGTGGGAATCTAACCAAGCGCTGGGACTTAACTTCTCCAAACAGCAAGATTCAACTAGGAGTCCTTGGAGCTGGTTAACAAGAGTCCACAGCCCCTTCCTCTCCGGCTCTTGTCCAAACCAAATTCATCCGCCTCCAAACCATCTTCTACCACCTTCCCTTTCCTTCTCCCAGTTTCCTAGGGTGGTGGCCTTAGCATCAGTTAAATCTTCCTTCTCAAGCTGTCTGTCCTCAAGGCTGATAGATTCATCCAAGATCTGAACCAGGATGTTGGAGTCTGGGATGTGGGCACCTGGGGCTCAAGGCAGCCACCCAAGACCTAACAGGTGGGAAGGGTCAGTGGAGGACTTCCAACTTTCCTCAACAAGCTCTCAGACTCCCCTGCCTTCCCCAGTCAACTCAACTGCAGAACCAAAAGCTGGTGTTCAGCCCAAGGCTATGTGTGGTCTGCTGGGTGTTGTCCCCAATCCAGTCTGGACCAGGGACAGTAAGGAAAGATCCAGGGTTTGGGTGCCAAGAGACACTCCAGTAACACAAGCCCCTGGTCCTACACAATACCAGTGATGCTTTGCAGGGGCAGAGTCTTGACTAGAACCCAAGTCACCCACCCGGCAGATCCTCCTGCTGCACTAGGCCCTCCTAGATAGGGGAGAAACGGGCCACAGGACTGGTCACTCACTAACTGAGGCTGCAGGCTGCCCTCATTTCTCTACTCCCAGTATCCTTAGCACGTATCCCCAGAGACCCTCAGGAAGGTTCTACAGGAATGAAAAATGAAGGAAAAAGGATGATGGAATATGAAAGAGATGTGGATTCATGCAGGTTGCAGGCAGTTAGGCACCTGGCCTTGAAGCCTCCTCCTGGGCCCAGGTCCGGTGGGAGGGAGCAATGAGAGCAAGTGGAGGCACCAGCATTTCCAAAGACGAGGGTATGAAGTGGGGGAGGGGAGATGAGGAATTTGTCTAGAAGCTGTATTTGCCGGACGAACACTCTTTTAACAAGACAGTGTTATGGGGACGCTGGTCTTGGCGAGGAAGCTGGAAGGGATAAGGCTGCGAAAGGGGCTGAGTCCGTGCCTGATTGGATGGAGGGATGGATGGAGGGATGGAGGGATGGATGGAGGGATGGATGGAGGGATGGA